CTTTGTGTGTATAGGACCCCAAATTCAAATTTAAATATTTTCTTTGAAAAATTCGATAACATGCTGCGTAAATTGGAACACAGAAAAAGCCGAATTGTGATAGCCGGTGATTTTAATATAAATTTCCTACAGAAAGATAAAAATTCTACTACTTTTGATGAACTGATCTCAAACTATGGAATGCAACGCCATATCCACACTCCCACTAGGCTAAATACTTGCATCGATAATATAGTAAGTAATATTCCGAGAGCAGTTGGCAACACACATAGTCTTTGCTTATCTGATCATAACACAGCTCAAGTCATAGAATTTAAATACCAAAAAAAGAGTACAACAAATTATTACTTTGTTGATAAGCATGATCTCAGCAAAGAAAACATGACAAAATTTGTAGACTATATTAGCAACTTATCCTTTTCCGAAGTCTATGACTTTCACCAAGCTAACGACGCTTTTGATAGTTTCCATGAATTATTTACATTGTTTTATAAACTATGCTTTCCGAATATTAAGGTTAAGGTTAAACATAAAACTTCTAAATTGAAATGGATCTCAAAAGGACTTAAGTTAAGTGCTAAAACAAAAAGGTTGTTAAGATACAGGTATTATCATAATAGAACAGATGAAAACAAACAAATATTTAAAAAATACTCTAATGTTCTAAAAAAATGTATAAATAATTTACAATCGTTGAATAATCAAAAACATATAAATAACTCCAACAATAAAGGCAAAGCTACATGGGATGTGGTAAAACGTACTACTGGCCATGAAACCTCAAGGGATTACATTGAAGGGCTTATTGACGATAGCAATGTCCTAAATACATCTGGTTCAGACATTGCTAACATATTTAATAACTTTTTTATAGATATTGTTGAAAAGAATATTAGTACTGAACAGAATGGTATATCTAATATTAACACAAGTAATCACAGCATTTTTCTTGAGCCATCTAATCCATTAGAAATTTATCATATAATCAAGTCCTTGAAAAATACGAAATCATCTGGCTATGACAATATCACAACAGATCTTATTAAACTTACAGCACAGTCCATTGCAAATCCCTTATCTTACATCATTAACCTGTCGCTAGAACAAGGCTGTTTCCCAGATAAAATGAAGGTTTCAATAATCAAACCTTTACATAAAAAGAATTCCAAAACCGATAAAAATAATTATCGCCCTATCGCACTGATATCCATTATCTCTAAAATTTTTGAAAAGGTTATTTATAAGAGAACACTAAATTTTTTAAATAAAAATAATGTCCTCAGCAACGAACAGTTTGGTTTTCGAAAAGGTAAGTCCACTCAGCTGGCAGCATTTAGTCTAATTAATTCAATAATGGACAACATAAATATTAAAATATCTCCTATTGTTCTCTTTCTAGATTTAAGTAAAGCCTTTGATGTTGTTGATCATACTAGACTAATAAACAAATTAGATAAATATGGCATAAGGGGAATAGCTTTAGATTGGTTCAAATCATACCTAAATGGTAGAACACAAATAACAAGAATAACTAAATTTAATAGTAAAACCAATTTTCTTGAGAGCCATGATTCCAGTCCCAGATTCAATTACTTTGGAGTTCCCCAGGGGAGTATTCTAGGTCCCCTACTATTTCTAATTTATGTAAATGATTTTCCTCAAGTAGTCCACAATCATGAATGCGTCCTATTTGCTGATGATACATCTGTAATATTAAGTTGCAAAGATGAAAAAAATTATATAGCCGAGATACATCAAACACTAAAAGAAATTACTAAATGGCTTGATATCAATGCATTAAAAATAAATTTAGACAAAACAAAAATTATTAAATTCAGATCTTATAAAAGCAAATGTAAGCAACTAGACATTATTTGTAATAACACACCCATCGAACAAGTCCATAACGTTAAGTTTTTAGGTATTACAGTAGATGAACATCTTACATGGAAAGATCATATCGATACCGTATGCAACAAAATTAATAAATCTGTCTTTGCTATAAAAAGAATTAAAGACTCTTGTTCAAGACACACATCGTTAATGGTTTACCATGCCTATGTATGCTCCGTTATACGATATGGGATTGTGGTTTGGGGATATACATCAGATTTAGCACGGGTATTTATTGCGCAGAAGAAATGTGTTCGCGCAATTTTTAATGTCAAATGGTCGGACTCTTGTAGACCTATTTTCACATCAGAAAAAATATTAACTGTCCCTAACATTTATATCTATGAAGTGGCTAAATTTGTAAAGTCCAATATTAAATTATTTAAAAATAAAAACAATACAAACAAGCGCAAAGTCACTCATTCGTATTTAAAAATGCCTGCTCCGCGACTTGAGATGTGTAGACGAAGTTGTGTGTACATGGCGCCTTTAATTTATAACTCACTGCCTCAGAACATAGTCGATCTGCCCTATCAGAAGTTCTGCAAGACTCTAAAAAATTGGTTGATAGAAGAATGTTTTTATTCGGTTGATGAGTTCCTAAAAAAGTATTCTTCTCAGTCTTACCATTTTAGGAATGCATTGTAATTGTTATTTACCTACCTGTATTTTACTTTTGTGTTTCTGTATTTTACTGTAAGATGTCGAACGTTTTGTACCAATGTATTGTAATGATGTAAAACAATAATGTGCATCATTGATTTTTAAAATAAATAGACGAACAAACAAATATGACGAAGTTAATAATGCCTTAATGAAGGTTCAAAATTGGTTTACAATAAACAACTTACTACTAAATGATAAAAAGACTAAATGCATTAGATTTATTTTACCAAATGTTAAAAGAAACGTATGTGATGATATATTATTAAATGATCAGAAACTAGAATTTGTAAAAGAGACTACTTTCCTGGGGATCACTGTAGATGAGAAGTTGCAATGGGGGCCCCACATCAGGTCTCTAGCAGGGCGATTGAGCTCTGCAGCTTATGCTGTCTGGAAGATCCGACAGCTAACCGATGTAGGCACGGCAAGACTAGTGTACTTTAGCTACTTTCACAGCATCATGTCGTATGGAATTCTGTTGTGGGGACAGGCATCCGACGTTGAGTCTATTTTTATCTTGCAAAAGCGTGCCGTCAGAGCTATATATAACTTAGGTCGTCGCGAATCTCTCAGAGAAAAGTTTAAGGAGATCAACATTCTGACCGTACCGAGTCAATTTATTTATGAAAACATTATGTATGTTAGGAAAAACCTACACTTATTTGTAAAGGTATCTGACAAACATGATTATCATACTAGACATAGGAATAGATTGAGTCAGCCTTTATTTAGATTGGCAAAAGTGCATAAGTCATTTCTGGGTTTCTGTGTTAAATGTTATAATAAAATCCCAGTTGAAATTCAAAATCTAAATGAAAGCAAATTTAAATTATGTATAAAGAAACATTTATGTAAACTAGCATACTACAAACTAAATGATTATATACAAGATAAAAATGCTTGGAGGCTAGCTGGTCCTACTCCACAGGATGTTTAGAGGAATTTTTGATTTTAATTATTAAATTGTACACTATGTTGTTAATTGTTGATGAACTTCTAAGTTTTTGTAAATGTGAGTACCCTGTAACCTATTATAATTAAGTAAGACTTGTAGAATATAGGTACTTGTGTCGGCTGGGAGCTGTCATGCTCACTTAGAGGTCTCATTGGCGGTGGCACGGCCACTGGATCGCCCAATTCCCTATAATATGGTTGAGTTGGGCGGTGCTGGTGTACGTGTCATGTTCGTGAACGGGCGCCGCCTATTGGGACTGGTCATCTCCAGGCTGTCTAAATATGTTGTCCTTGAGGTTCACTTCTTTTTCGTACCTTTTGCCTGAACATTAGTGTTACATTGTTCTCACATATCAGAACCAACTAAATGATGTAACAAAGAAATGTATTGTAAAACTGATTGAAAAAGAGTAACCATGGAGTTTCTTGCTCGTTCTTCTCCATAGGAATCTACACTTTGGAACGAGCAAATAGCTTCACTAGAGGACAGACGGACAGACTGACATGCTTAATTTTAAAGCTCATGTTATATACTTTTTTCATTTTTTGCTTGCTTGACGTTCAAAAGTGCCTATTGTGGTCTAATTGAAATAAATGATTTTTGACTTTTGACTTTGACTTTTGACATTTTACTTGAACATTTGCATGCTGTTTTATAACTGCGGAATGTGTCTAGCTCTAAAACATATATTAAACCAACTCTTGTACCACATTTTATGCAAATAAATATATTATTATTATTATTTTGTGTGTTCCTTTCCACTCACGGGACTACAGGGTCCCGGACTTTTGGAAGGCGTACGAGGGGCCGAAGCCAACTCGCAGAGGCCCTTTGAACAACTTTAATATAAGTGAAATGGGACATCAGCCGGCAATTATCCCTGTATGCACTATGAAAGTGCACCCAAGGACAATCCCCGGTTGATGCAGGACTATTGCGAAATGTGGTAAAAATTTAAAGGGTTATGGGTATGGGTTGCTATGGACTGGTGAATATGATAACTATGGAAATACTATGGCCCCTGCCCCTGACCAATATTGATACATACGGATAAACAGGCAGGGGGTGACTGGCAAACTCAATTAATGGGCCCCCGGAAACGGCCGCTAGCATGTAGCGACAAGGGGGCAACATACGTTGAGCTGCTTGGGGAAGGAGAGGTATCCCACGGCTATCAGAGCAATCCCGGAAGTACGGTCAAGACCCCTACCAGCATCTTACTGAGATACATCCTTCCCCCGAGTCTCCTTCAACTCCTACTTATTATTATTATTATTATAATTTTGGTGATAAGCGTAGCAACTCAACTAAAGTATCAATTTTATTTATGTTAAAAACATATATAATGTAGAATACGGTGCGTAATCCTATTACTTTATTAGGTACATGAATTTTAATGTTAACAATACATAACTTGACAGGATGTAACGACATTATTTTTGAACGCATCGCTTCCTTTGGCGCGAAAATTCTATTTGACACTCATGACAATTCAAAGCAACAGGTGTTTCTTTTGATCTTTAGTGAGTTGCGTGAACTTTTCTAGTTTTGATTGAGTTACAACGTGTTTTAACATGTAAAAACATGATTTCTTGATATTAAATCATCGATTTTACGTCCATGACGTGTCAAGATGTTTATAGAAGATATTAAAAACGATTTTTACAACGTACTCCTTGGTAACGTGAGTATCGACTGCATTGTTTACGAGTTTACAACCAAACTTTGTTTTCGACTAGGAGACAAACAGTGAGATTCCTTTTTAAAATTTTGTTTCAGAGGGTGTTATTGTTAGTTCATTACGACGTAGACGCGATATGCACTTGTAAAATACTGCAGGGTTTGTTTAAAAGTGATAATATTTCGTATACACTGGTCCCTGTGGGGGGTATTGCGGAATTGAAGCAAGCTTACGAAGAAAACAATGAGGAGATAAAGTATGTTGTATTGGTGAACTGTGGGGGAACAATAGACTTGGTAGATATCTTGCAGCCTGAAGAAGAAGTTGTATTTTTTGTGCTAGATGCCCATAAACCTACGGATGTGTGCAATGTGTACAGTGATGGACAGGTGAGCTTTTTTGAGTTGTTAAGTGTTTTCATGTAAGTCTGTGATAGTACTTTCTGATCTACATTTATTATAACAATTCAATTTTATTCCCTAGAGGGTAGGTTAGGATTCATTTTAATCAACACCACTATTCACCAACTTTAGGACTATTGGCATGCAGCAAGCACAACTCCAGACTATGCTATGGTCTATTCATGGTTTAGGTAATTAATTAACTAAATCTAGGTAACCAATCTAAGCATATCATTTTATATAAAAGTTGTCTAAAAATTTATGTAATTGTACAATAGTTTATAATCAGCTATTTGCCTAAATCAATGTTAGCTAATAAACTAAATTTAAATAATCTTTGAATTTTATAGAACTTCTTTTATATACCCTATTGTCTATAGGTTTCAGCACAAAGAATTCAAAAAATGTTTTGGTATCCCAATTAATTAATCTAATCACTTTAAACCTTTTAGTAGAACACTGTCTTATACATTTAGTGTCTGCAATGAGAAGTAAATCTTCACAAATCAAAAATTATTGTTTCTTGTAGACTATACCAGTAAAATAGCAAATGTATTTAAGGTCATGGCCAAGAGTCTGTGGTGATAATACAAATATTAATAAGGACTGAAATAATTATAATAACCTTGTTGAGATTCTTTCAATAACACTGCCTGACATATAAGCATAGGTGTATACCTTCAAAATCACCCTTAACAATTCCTGTTATGCATACAATTTAATAGGGAATGAGTGTTTTACAAAACACTGGGGACAAAACTACCCAATTCTATAATTACTAACTACCTATATGAAATTAGTAATTATACTTCATAATACACAATAGTCCAAGCTAAGACTGAAAATCATGCAACAACCTTGAGGTTCAATATTTTAAAATTAGTTTTAATTAATCTTTTGACTGAAAACAATTATCTCTTAAAGGCAAATCCTGTGCTCAGACTGGTTACGGGTGGCAGTATGGGAGGCAAAGTCTTAATATTTTCATAACCAAAAGTTAAATGAATCGAAAAAAGGGTTACATGTTAATTAACATAGGTAGAATAAATGCACCATGTCTAGAATTTGGTGTGATGTTTGTATGTTGTTATAGGTGAGATTAGTCTATAAGGACAGTGAGGAGAACATTCCCAACTTTGATGACATCTTCAGAGATGATGAGGAGGAAGAGGTGAGTCCAGCTTACTGTTTTGTTTGTCTATGCTAATATTACAAAGAGGTAAAATTTGTAAGTTTGTATGTGGGGGGTGGAGGGTAATATTTGGAACAGCTGGTCGGATTGCTAAAATTCTATAGATAACTATAGATAGCTACAATTTTCTGTGTGCTATAGGCTATATTATTTTTCAGCTTAGCTTAGATATGGTCAGGACTTAGAGTAAAAAAATCACTAATGTGCAGCAGACAGATTCTATTTATTTGCCCCTATTTCATAAGAAATAGAATACTATTAATTTTTAATAGTAGAAATATTGATTTCAAAAGATTGTTAGAAGATTATTGTATAACTCTGACATTCATACTATTTACCTATTTTCAATAGAAGAATACTTTGAACTTTTTGCGCTTTTATTGTACACTTTGTTACCACATCTATTTTATGCTGTGTTTTGATTACTTATTCTTACTTATGATTACACCAACATCTAGCAGCAGTAGTATGATGATGATGAATGTTTTGTGTCAGGATGAAGAGACAGGCAGTGGTAGGGAGGGGCTTGAGGCCATGGTGGAGAAAAGAAGGGAGAGGCGCGCCTGGGAGGAAAGGAGGAATACACTCATGTTCAACTATACACAGTTCTCTTACTACGGGAAGCCAGTGAGTTTACCTTTTATCTAAATCTTTATCTATTCTAATGTTATAAAGAGGTAAATTTGTAAGTTTGATGTAGGGGTAATCTTTGGAATCACTGGTTGGATTCCCAAAATTCTTTCATCTATTGATAGCTACAATGTTCCTGAGTGCTATTAATAGGGTATAAAACATCACGCTACAATCAAACGGAGCCGAGCAGCGAGGGAAACCGAGGGGGAAACCGCGCGGGAGTAGCTAGTTCATTAATATTGTTACGTGCCTGACGTCACGTTCCTGACTATGCGGGCTTGGGTTACGGGATTGGATGAAATGATACACTAATACCGGTTTTCAGACTTTCTATTGCACTTAAGTTACAGCGTCCACGGAGTTAAGTTATCGGCGTTCCTCTCCAGCAGAGTCCGGCCGACTGACACAACTTTGCCGTTCACGCTGACTTAACTCACTTAACTGACTGCACTTCACTATTTCACTGCACTTCACTATTTCACTCACTTTTCTTCTTTTTCACTTCTTCCTTTTCTTCTGAATCGCTTTAGACTTAGAACTCAACTGCCAGCGGTGAGCCGCAGTTCCGCTTATATACCCCCGGTCAGGTTCTGGAACATTCAATTTCGTTATTCTTTTTGATCGTCATGCCTCCAGAACCTTAACCTATTAATTTCGTTATTCATTTTTATTTATTCTCCTTCTCGCTCTTTAATTTTTTATTTCTTTCACACAAATAATTCCAGAAAGTTCGACAAAACTTCTATCAACTAAAAAACCTCATGTTTACGGCGAGACTCGAACTCGGGGTCTCTGTGGTGTAATCCACACGCCTTACCGATTACACCAACTCGTGTTGACAATTCACGACGAAATTTACAATCTCTAGGCAACGTTTGACAACCATCCATTGACGTCATGATGTCAAAGAGTTTGAACCACTTTTCCGTCACACTGCCCCCCTCTTAGATTCGCTCGTCCCGAGCATCGTTGCTGCCGTAATACCTCGCCAACCTGTCTATATGGACAACTTTCAAAGGGCTCCTAGAAGTCTTCCGAATTCTGTAAGTAATGTCATTGATCTTCGTGACTATCTCATAAGGACCTTCCCAACTCGGTTGCAGCTTCGGAGATTTTCCCTTCCTTCTGACTGGATTATGAAGCCAGACCAATGACCCCTCTTCAAACCCAACAGAATTGGCTCGTCGATCATAGCGCGTCTTTGCGCGATCACTAGCTTGAAGACCGGCCTCCCTGATCTGCTCATAAATTTCCAACATTTTTGCCCTTAACTCGCTTATGTAATCGCTAAACTCGGTGTGAGAGTCGCCAGGTGGACAGCCCGATACGAGATCTGCCGGTAATCTCAATTCCGTTCCAAAATTTGCAAATGCAGGCGTCTTTGCGGTACTTTCATGTACAGCAGTCCGATAGGCAAGCAAGAAGAGAGGTATGTAAGTGTCCCAATCTCTCTGATGGCTGTCAACCACATTTGCTAAGTGTCGCTCCAATGTTTGGTTGAAGCGTTCGACCATTCCATCTGACTGTGGATGATAAGGGGTCGTTCGAGTCTTATGGAAGTTTACAAGTTTCCTGAAAAACTTGGGATTCAAAGTTCCGTCCTTGATCACTGTGCATCTCCAAGGGCACTCCGAATCGGGTGAATACCTCGTTTACCAACTTCGTGGCTACAGTTACTGCCTCTAGATTCGGTATGGCAAAGACCTCTGGCCATTTTGTAAAATAATCCATAACCACTAAAACGTAGCGATTGCCCGAATCAGTGATTGGAAATGGTCCAGCGATGTCTAAGGCTATTCTCTCCCAAGGCATACCAACATTGTAGATTTTCATCGCCCCTCTGCTTCTTGTTTGTGGACCCTTGACAGCTGCACAACTAGTGCATTTCCGGCACCAATCTTCGACGTCATATTTGCAATGCAACCAATAAAACCTCTCCTTGATCTTCACCAAAGTCCTCCTAATTCCCAAATGTCCTCCAGAAGATCCATCATGGAACGCTTTTAATACATCCCTAATTTTTGAACGAGGCACCACCAATTGCAAATGCTCGTCCTTGCCGTTTGTTGATTCCCATTTCCTGCACAGAAGTCCGTTATGCAGCGTAAGACTTTTCCACTGTGCCCATAAACCTTTCGTTACCGCGCTATATTGGGCGACGTCACTCCAACTTGGCTTGTTACCACTTCGTAGCCACTCCAGTATTGGTTTAATATCTGCATCTCTTTCCTGTTCTAATTTCATCGCATCATCTCCCCATGCCTCGTCAACAGTATTAGTCCTTATCACCTTAAGAAAAGCAGTTTCCTTCTTGGCACAATGCTTGCAATCTTCCACGCATGGGCGTCTCGATAATGCATCTGCGTTGCCATGGATTCTTCCGCCGCGATGTTCGATTTCAAAGTCAAATTCCTGAAGTTGTTCCAACCATCTGGCTACTTGGCCTTCGGGATCCTTAAACTGAAGCAGCCATTTCAAAGCAGCGTGATCAGTTCTGATCAAAAATTTCCGTCCCAGTAAATACTTCTTGAAATGGTGCAGAGTTTTGACTACGGCCAGCAATTCCCTCCTGGTTACGCAATAATTCCTCTCCGGCTTGGATAGTGACTTGCTGAAGTAAGCAATAACCTTCTCCTGCTCACCATCGCGTTGTGAAAGAACACCTCCTATTCCAATATTGCTGGCATCCGTATCAACTACGAATATTCCTTTCGCGCTGGGGTATCCGAGAATTGGTGTGTTACAAAGCCGTTCTTTTAGTTCTCGAAAGGCTTGCTCACAATCCTCGTCCCAGATAAAGGCACGTTTCTCCTCTGTCAATCGATGCAAAGGCTTGGAAATGTCCGAGAATCCTTTCACAAACCGCCGATAATACGAGCACAATCCAAGAAATGCCCGAACATGCGTTTTGTCTTTAGGTGTTGGCCATTCCTTAACAGCGACAGTCTTGGCTGGATCAGTCTCAATTCCTCTCTCAGAAATAACATGTCCTAGATAATTCACTTCGCGCTTGAAGAAAGAGCATTTCTTTGGACTCAGCTTTAAATTTGCTCCACGCAGCTTGTCGAGTACCTTTTCCAATTTCCTTAGATGATCGTCAAAATCCCGTCCAACAATGATGATGTCATCGAGGCAAACTAGGCAGGTTTCGCCCAGCAGTCCCGCCAGCACCTGTTCCATCAAACGCTCAAAGGTTGCCGGTGCATTGCATAATCCAAATGGCATCACCTTAAATTGCCAGAGTCCCTTCCCAGTTGAGAATGCGGTCTTTTCCTTGTCCTTGGGATCCAAATCCACCTGCCAATAGCCGCTTTTCAGATCGAGCGTTGAAAACCATTTCATGCCACTCAGTGTGTCAAGTGTGTCATCGATTCTTGGTAACGGGTAGCTATCCTTCTTGGTTACATCATTCAATCGTCGATAGTCTACGCAAAACCTCGTTGAACCATCTTTCTTCTTGACAAGCACGACAGGTGAACACCAAGGGCTAGAAGAGGGCTCTATCACGTCATTTTTCCTCATATCGTCAATCATTTGTTCAACCTCTTTCTCACGAGCGAATGGTATGCGTCTGGGCCTTTGACGAATTGGCATTGTATCACCTGTGTTTATTTTATGCTTCACCAAACCAGTTCGGCCAATATCACCATCGCTTCTTGAAAACACATCAGAGAATCGAAGAAGTAAATTTCTAGCTTTCATAGTCTCCACTTTTGTCAGACTTTTGTTTTCGTCTAAGATTTTCGTTACAAAGTCTATTCCCGTACTGTCCTTCTTCACAAGATTCTCCGAGCATTTTCTTATCCAGGCCACTTCTTCCAATACGCCCACAGGCTCTCCTTCTTCAATCGTAATTTTTGAATCACTGAAGTTGAATACCGGAATGCGGTTTTTTTTTTTGTGAGGGGAAAATCATCAAATGACTTCTCCCGCCCAGGGCCGGGCAGGAGGGAGTGTCAGACTCTTACTGACTAAAAACCCCCCTGTTCCTTCTCCTGCTCTGTGCCGAGGTCGCGGTACCTCATTGCGCTTACCCCGCAACCCCGGCTGACTTATAACCATAGATGACAAACTACAATGGGGGCCCCATATCACATCTCTGGCAGGACGGTTGAGCTCTGCAGCATTTGCTGTCTGGAAGATCCGACAGCTAACAGATGTGGACACTGCAAGACTGGTGTACTTCAGCTACTTTCATAGCATTATGTCGTATGGCATCTTGTTGTGGGGACAGGCTGCTGACATTGAGTCTATCTTTGTCTTGCAAAAGCGTGCCATCAGAGCTATTTACAATCTAAGGCGTCGTGAGTCTCTTAGAGAAAAGTTTAGAGAGATCAATATTATGACCGTGCCATGTCAGTTTATTTATGAAAACATTATGTATGTTAGGAAAAACTTAAAAATATTCGATAAGGTGTCAGATAGACATAATTATCAAACTAGACATAGAGATAGATTATGTCAGCCATTATTTAGATTGGCAAAGGTACATAAGTCGTTCATGGGATTCTGTGTTAAATGTTATAACAAAATCCCAGGCGAAATACAACAATTAAATGAAAGAAATTTTAAATTATGTGTAAAGAAAACTTTATGTAGAAAAGCATACTACACACTGAATGATTACATTGTAGATAAAGTTTTTTTCGGACGTAGGTGTTGCAAGCGAACACACGCCTTTTGTGTTGCACAAAGTATCATAAGTGTAATCTATTTTAAATTTAATTTTTAATTAATTAATATATACTAATAAAGTACTCACAGTGCAGCAAACTGTTTAAATAAAACTATTTTGGCACACCACCTGCCAGCACATCAAAGTTTTTATTATCATAACACAAGAAGCACAACTTTAACACTGCACAATGTCCCAACTGGCTGAGGTATTGTCCGCACAAAAGTCACTGGAGGAGTGCTTCATGAAGAAGATGAATGCACTGGAGGCACAAATCCAAACTGCTGGCCCAGCGAAGGACACAGTTGCGAAGGTGGCA